TATTCTAACCCAACAAGCTGTAGCCTCAAGCGGGAGAAGACGATGCTGCTCCGCTTTGCTCCAGCTGAGGGATCATCCTCGCATGGTTCCCACTGTGGGGTCACCGAGCATCTCGGGAGCGCTGCAGCAAGCGATGCTCAGCCAGCGCCGGCAGCTCCTTGTGCTTCCCCAAGCAAAGCCTCCCCATCCGCAAAACCTGCCGCAGGCAGTAACACCCCCACCCGTGGCGCTGACCCACGAGAAACCTCCAGGGAGGGCTGAGCACCGCGACAGGTTGTGACGTGCAAACTGGTACCCAACGCCCAGAAGTGCGAGGTGGCTTTGCCCTGTTGTGCAGGCAGATCAGCTCTTCTCCTTCTCTCCTTTCCGGGATGGCAGCTTTCACCTACCTCTACCTCTTCATCAAGGAAAAAAAACTTTCCATGGAAGAAAATACCTCCTTTGTACCTCCTTTGAGGGAGCATGCTGGCAACGGGCAGGACACCCGTTTTTCCTGAGGGAATTTAACAGCTGCCTTCGCCGAGGGCTCTTATCGCTGCTGCGAGGCAAAATTTTAGCCCTTCGAGCTGCAGAGACCGACTTCAGGCCAGGAGCTGAATCCAAATGAAAGCAGTACTCCCATCCTGAGCATGAAAACAAACTGAGGCTGGGTCAGTTTTAAGAAGCACGATGGACTCAACATAATTTTGACAAGTTAAACAGCAGCGTTGCTCTCACCACCACAGGTGAAGATGTTGCCCTCTCTCCCCGCTCCCCAGAAAAGTGTAGACATCGAACGAGGATGCAAACCCAAAACAACTTCACGTGCCACCAACATGCTCAGGGTCGAGCTGATCTCCCTGGCCCAGCAGAGCCCAGAGGATCCCAGGCAGCGGGAGAATCCTCACTCTGTGGCTGAACACCCACCCAATTATTTCTTACCCAAAAGCGATTCCTGAACCCACGCAAGCACCTTTTAATAATCAGCTTGTACAGAAAAGTCACAAGCACTGGCAAGTCCTGGTGAAGAAAAGGGCCTTAGGAATGCAAATCTGCAACTAAATGGTTTTTAGATCTTAAACACCAATTTTTTTCCCCATCTGTAGGAAATTAGCTCATCCCACCTCTGAGGCCGTTTTTCCCCTGTGAGGTTGTAATGAGCAGCCGTATCCCAAGTGCCCCTCTCCGCCTCCCCAACAGATGTTAATTGCTGCAGAGGTTTGGGGCTAACGAGGGATTTCCAGCTTTAGAGGGACAAAGCCCACGGAAGCTGTGCCTGAATGAGGGGGCTTTTGAAGCAGGGCAGGGGTCAGGGCCACCGGAGAAACCCCGGTGCCGTACAGACACACCGAGCAGAGATTTAATTCACGGTGAGCAGAGATTTAATTAGCGCCTTGTGATATGGCATACCCACACCACCAGAGGGAGAGCTGCTCGGCATTTCTCCTCTGTAACTGCACTAATTAAAGATTTTTATCACGTAACATCATCGTACGGCATATACCGTGTACGATGCTCCAGCCAGGCCCTCAGCTCACTAGCGTGCATTGCCCAAGTGCCATGCCAAGACTGTGCCAGGATGGCCTGTCATTACTTGAAATAGAGAGGTAAATCTCTGTTTCTAGCTGAACGGAGAGCGATTCTCAGCGCAAAGCCCCTCCACGTTGCTGAAGCAGCGCAGCGACCCTCTTCCCTGAACCCACAGGAGAGGGAGGGTGTTTAAATTGGGCATCGCTGCCCGCTGCCTCGGCAGACAGCCGGCACCGAGGAGCTGTTACAATCATTCGGTTTCCACATCGTCGAACGGGCGAGCTGCTCCGCACAGACAGGCAGGAAAGCTCCGGGATGCAGGCAGGAGAGAGGCAATGCAGGGGTTAGGCAGCAAGGACCGTCAGGGGTGATTTTTGCAGGCAGGGAGCACAAAGAGCTGCCCAACATCCATGAAGGGCAGGGCATTCGGGGCCACGTGGAGGATGAACCATGGGAAGCTCACAGTTGTCAGAACACTTTAAAATTACGCACACACACACACACAAAAATCCCGTAACAGATCCGGGGTTTTGCAAAGTTGCCTCAGTCTTTTAAACAGCAGGCAAGGAGCGTTTTTAAGAGCAGGTTTAAGGATGCATCTGCAAGGAGTGGTCCAGCTGTGGCTGCTCCTGCCAGGAAGGCAGGGATTGAATTAGATCAGCCTTCTTCATCCATTTTAAAATCAACTTTCACGTCAGCTGCCTGGAAAAGCCCACATGATCTTTGCTAGCATGGCCACAGTGGCTTTTACTTACAGCCAAACGCAAAAATCAGACCAGGACAACATTTTGAGCCTGGCCCTTCGCATATTTCCAGCCGATTTGCTTGTGGACACAGGGCTGTGCATATTTAAAAAGAAAATGCCGGCAGCTGGGTCAGTGGCGTTTAGTGATGGAGATGACCGGCCAGAGATGAGCCGCAGGTTCACTAACGCTGCACCGCATCCCCTCCAGACCTCGCTCGTGTGGATGAACTGGGCAGGACCGAGCACAGCCCTGCAGGGTCAGCGGCTCAGGGTAACAACAGCTACTTGTAAGCACACTAAACACCTTGTGCACAATACAAACCCACTCAAAAATCAATCTACTAACAGGACATAGCACGGCCCACGGAGAAGAGCCAAGCCTCATGCTTAAGAGCAAATTCATGCCCCCATCGCAGTCTCCCCATCATCTCCCACGGCTCGGGTGCCTGGGGGCAGCGGAGCAGAGACCTGCTGCATCCTTCTCCAGCCACCCCCTGATCAGCATCATCCTCCCCTCCGGTCACCATGGGCCTATGAAGCAAAGAGTTAAATTTCTTCAGACCTGAGGGAACGGGAAGGGTCAACAGTATTTGAATCAATCATTTATTAAACAAAGTCACACGTTTAGTCCGTGATTGTCAGGTAAACGCCCCCCCACCCCCAAACACTGCGTATGACAGAGAGCACCGAGGAACGGCTGAGAATTCAGTACAGCCCACACATTGCCTTGCTAAAGGAGAATTGCTCCCCTGTATCCCCAAATACTCTCCCTGTTCTATTTAAACCACCCAAATTTTAACCACACTTCTGTCATCTCCTGTTTCCCAGGTATCTTCAAACCACCACAATATTTACTATTAGTAAAGAAAGAAAAATTACCTTTGTCATTCCTTCCTTCACAGTTTATTACAGCCTTCCTGCCATCTCACATTCGAGCTTTGGTCCCCTCTTGCTGAAGGCCAGAGCACGGTTCTGCCTCCGGCGATACCCCAGCTCCTGATAATTTCAGCTCCCACCTTCCCAGCGCACACTCCGTAATAAAGCAATTTTGGCTTCAATCTTCCTATCCTTCACCAACAGCAGTTAGCTCGGTCCTCCAAAGTTGCCCCTTCCTTTTCCCCTTCCGCTCGTTGTACACATATCCACCCTTAAAACACACCTTGCTTCTTAACTTACCAAAAATACATTATTCAGGACAGAGACCAGGAAAATTTAGGTGACGACGATAAGGAGCAATTAAATATGTAACCATGTGTGGGACCCAACGCTAGAGTGTGCTGTGTAGGACATAACCTCGCACTGCGGACGATGGGCTTGATAACGCTGCGGGATCTCTCTCTCTAGACACCGTCAGAAACACTGAAGAACTAGACGGGTCTTTTTTTTGGCTCCTGGGAACGGATGAAGCTTCCTCAGAAATCCTTGGTGAAGGTGGAGAGCTAAGCAGCAAACACAGAGTTTTGAAGAAAGCAGAAAACGCGTCCAGGACGGGGAAATTAAAAAAAAAAAAAAAAAAAACAAGCAGAAGAAAAGCAGCAAGGAGAGAATAATATCAGCTATTTCGCTGTATGGCTTAGACGAGTGGCAGAAAAGAAGAGATTCACAAAGACAGGAATCCCACTTTATTCTCATCCTGAATTTGTTTATCTCATGATAATTGGGTTTTGCATTTTGCCTGCAAGCCTGTCTGGGGCTGGAAAGACTGTAGAGAAATGCTCAGGACAAAGCAGCAACAACAAAAACCCCAGAGCTCTCTGTGACTTCCCAAGTATTGTCTCAGATTCACTAGGAGAAGCAAACAAGGCACAGACCCTCAGTGACTGTCCAAAACCCCAGGCAAGTCAGCACCCAAGCCAGAATCACAGCTCAAGGTATTTCTACCTTTTGATTCAGCATTTGAGGGACAGGCTTAACTTAGAAAAGAAAATAAAAAGCATTTTAAACAAAATTTTGTGTTTTTTTTTTAAAAAAAGCTTCTTGTTTTTATTTTGACAAGAAGAATAAAGTTTAGAAACATCTCAACATACAGAACTCCAAAAAATAAAAAATCATAAATCACCTAAGTTAATTTACTAAAGAGGAAAAATACAGTACATACAAGACTCAAACATCCTGTAAGTTTGTACAAAAGCCAGACAGTAACAAATTGCATTCGAAATATATCAAGCATTACCTGACTGATTCGACGTTGGCATTTGCCCCATTATTAAAAGGCACAAAAGACTGAGCAATGAAAGCGTTCAGCATCACATCCGTTATTGTCAGTAAATTCATCAAGATTAGCATAAAAAAAATTATTAAACCCATGTTTAATATTCACCACGTAGATCAGTAAGAAATCTTTTTTGGAAGGAGTAAGAAAATAAAGTTGGAAAGGACAAACATTTAAATATGACACCCCTAGACACAAAGGCTCTTCCTAGAAATCTACCTTCCAATCTTCCCAGAAGAGTTTTCACAGCTGCGTATCACTCGGCAATCATTCGAAAAAAAGATTTAACGATCCACAAGCCCACCCTCCAGCAGCGTCACGATACCGCAGCAGCATCGTCAGCAGCATGGAGCCCTTTTGGTGCGTCTTTGGTTGCGGACACACCGAGAGCGACGAGGCTACGGAGGTATCGGCGCGCCGCCGACCCACCGCCGGTCTGCCGGCTGCTTCGTTACACCCGTAGTCCGTAATAGCCAGCACAAACCAGAACGGGTGGATTTGCCTTTTTTAAAACCGTATTTGAGGTTTCCGAAGTCACCCCGGGTAACACATGCAGCAGCCGGCTCCAGCAAACTCGGGGGCAGATCTCTGCTGCGCTTCTTCAAACAGTCTTTCGCTCAGCTTGTGCTCGGTGATGATATCTTCCACCCGAGTTATGTAAAGCAAGGATAACAACACTCCCAAGAACTGTGAAAGGAAGGGGCATCTCTAGTCAGAGATCAAATACTGCTTATCTAACGCCTCTCACAGCAGTTTTTACAAATTATGTACGCATACGTTGGATATATGGGCAGGTATACGGTAAGCATACAGGCAGAAACTCACATTGTTGTTATTCGTGGCATATAGGGGTGTAAACGGATCATTTCTGTGAAGAGCTAATACAACAGAAGAATTACCACCCCTGTGTCTTGGAGCATTAGAAAGTCTCAGTGGACGCAACCTGGGGGAGGAGAGGACTCAAAAAACCCAAGCAAAACCAAATTAACCCACCAAATCTCACCATATATCACAGTAATGCTACTAAATTACCAGAATGCCACCTCAGCTTACCAGTTATGTTAAATTTAAATAAAAAAATGATAATTAAATATAGTCAGATGGGATTTCCCATACCGTAGCAACAAACCAGATACTCCCTTTAATGGATAACGCACTGGCCCCTTCTTACCTGGGGTAGCAATATGCCGAGCAGCACACCGGCCATGATGCTGTAGTTGTCCAAAAACCAAATAAGCACTGCATTCGTGCATCCTCGGACATATATAACATGCTGAACACTCAAGCGCTGCAAAATAACAGAGCAAACGTTCAAACAGGCAGTTGCACTGGCATATGATACAATAACACATGATAACTCAAAATTCAGGGACGCAAATTTGGTCTTCATTCCGATCTCTTTAAACCCACTGAATTTAACAGAGACCTCATCACTAATTCTTCCATCTGTTTTTAGGTTGTTCCACACCTGAACGAGTTATTTCATTTTTTTTAAACCTTTTTTTGCAACTACTTTTCTAAAAGAAATGCATCCAATTCTCATTTTAGACGACTCGGAAAGTAGAGAAGTCTCTCTTTTGCTTTTATCTCTGCTTCCAGGTTGAAAGTACAGCAGTGGAAAAATATGAATTGTGGACCAAGTGCTTTGCAATAGACTCTAAAAAGGGCAGGAACAAGAGGATTTCAGATTCAGTCCTGCAAGCTGCGTGCACCGTGACCCCAACCCATAATATAGAAAGCACTTGAGGCTGCAAAGAGTCCTAAGCAGATGAATAGGGTAAAGTTAAGCGTATGCTTAAGTGCTTTGGGCGTTAGAGCCAGGCTGGAGCATTTAGGTGATTAAGCCATAAATCACTGAATCTAAATGAAGACAGGTCATATGTAAAGATAACCAGTAATCCCAAAAACCAACAACTGAAGCTGGCATTGTGCGCCAAGTGCCTCAAATGAGCTGGGGAGAGGGGCTTTTTCCAACCAACCCCCCGCACCAGCACTCCAAAGCTAGGAGTGGAGAACTCCCAGCAGATCCAATTACTGATTTCCCTTCTTAATCACTCCACAATTAGTGCCTTGAGCCAGCAGTCTCTATTCTGGAGTCACCGGGGCTATTCCCAAGAGGGAAGACTGAAGAAGGAGGCAGCCCCATCCTGCTCCTGGAGGGAGGAGAGGGCTGCCAACACAACCTGGGAAGTCCCACTCCTCTTCCAGGAATAACTATTACAGGCTTAAAAATAAAACACCCACCACCGGCATATAAAATACTTAGAAACAGCAAAGTTGACTTTACCGAAACCAAATTTTCTAGGTGAGAAACTTTGGCTTTTAAGTATTAAAAGCTTTCCCCAACTCAAGTCACTGATTAAAAGTAGGAAAGCAGCTTTCTTTGCATTAATTGTGCAATTAGCATAAGGGGGATGACCTTTGGGAAGACATGCTTCATGCACGTCAACCAAGGAATCGTGGAAGATACAAAGAAGGGAAGATACCACAATAAGACAAGATTAGTTGTTTTACTCTATGAAAGTTTTTCCAGATAAAATAATGTTAATTGCTGATTTAACTGTCTGGTAGATTTAAGCATGCAGAAGACAATTTTATAACTGACCAAAAAAATGCAGAGAATCACCACCCTTTGCCACGACAGGGTGGACACTCGTTACTTTACCTCTTTGTCAATGGTTTTGTATCCGCACATAGTGTTGATAATATCTGTCTGAAAAGAAAACAACAAATATAAACTGCAGCAGAAAACAAAAATCACAAAAAAATTATTTTTACTCTTCTTGTGTTCACCAAGCTCGTACAAAAGCAACAACAGGGTTACTTCTCAGTCCAACACTAGTTTCTTCCAGCAGCCCCAGGGTCAGATTTACATAGGGCTCTACATGATTTTAGAGAGATCAGTATTGCCAGTGTGTCACGACACAAGGCATTTGAACCGTATCTATCCAGCAGAACCAGCGTGGCATCAGAAACCAAAGCTAGCTGTTACAGAGCTGTACGCCACAGCTGTTTCCACAAAACGAACAGCTGGTTTTAATTTTAAGGCCTTAATAACTTAACATATCTTATTAAGAAAACCAGGGGTTAACATGGCTATCATGCCATCCCGATGACAAATTTAAGCTCAGAAATATCTCAACCCCAAGTAACGTCCAATACTAAGAATGCTTACACGAACATTTTACAAGAGCAAATTTATTATATTTTTATATACCATTTTATATATATGAATATAAAATTCATATATTCAAAAAAAGACTGAATGCTTGCATTCATCACAGATTACTAACGCATTTTCTGTAGCCCTTTAATATTTCGCATGGCTCTAACTGGCCTGCCGAAGCTAGCCTGAAAATACCATCCTTCACTTACAAATCAGCTAACGTAAAGCCCACCGGCATCAAAGGAAGCAATGAACAAAGCCATGGCAGAAAATGAGAATACGCAAATGAGGAAAATAAGGTGGAACAAACTCTACTGCATTGATACACGCTCCCTGAAAATTAAAACAAGATGTAGAAATGAGATTTCTAAACGCCGGTGGTCTCTGAGCGATGGGCTGGGGTTCCCAGGTCACCTCCCCAAGAAGGAAGGGGGACGTTTGCAAAAGATGGAAGGAGGACGGGTGTTACAAAATGGCAGAAACACCAGCCAGGGTCAAGGTTTTTAAGCCCCCAAAAAGCCAGGCTCTCACCTTGAACACGCAACTGGCTGACAAACAAGGTTCGGCATGTTCCTAAAAAAACCCGCTCTATTTCACAGGTCCGTTGGGAAAACGTGAGGGGTACCCAGCTGTCAACCACACGTAATAAATACTCTTGGAAGTCAAAGTTTGCAATACCAGGCATCAGCGTGTTGCTGTGTCTGCTGTGAGCGATTTCACATCTACGAAACGCTTGAGTCTAAACGACAAAGGCAGGGCCATCCCCAAAACACGGGACCGCGACCAACACAGTCACATCATTTCATTTTAAACACAGCATTTCCTAACAGGACATCGTGGCATAAGAAAATGTATGCAATGGAGATAAATGCATTAGAAACAGACATTTATAGGCATCTGGGGACTAATTTTTATCTGCTGCACTAGCGTAAGTCTTTAATAAATACTTCAACTTAAAAATAGTCCCTCCAGAGCCCCCCCCAGTATGAGCCTGGCTCATGTTAGCACGAGGCTTTTTCAGAGGATCAGAATCCAACCTCTGACATTAGCAGGAGTTTTCCATGACTACAAAGCAAATGAGTAATCACAAGCCGTATCTGTAGTTTTCCAGGACAGAAACCAGCCTGTATTTGGAAGCATTTGTCAAACATACAAGATTTATGCATCTTCTGGTTGGTTTGTTGTTTTTTGGGTTTTGGTTTTTTTTTTCCCAAGGCAGCTGGCCGTACAGCCACGGTGTTAGTGTCATCCTGCCGAGTACGCGTCCGCCCCGCTTGGACTTCACGAGGCAGATCCACGGCATCCCGGTGCGGCAAAGCCACGAGCCCTCACGTACCGCAGCATCTTGCTGAACACCCTACCCTTAAATAAGAAGTTTGCTTGTTCTTTTGGGACTTCTCCCTGCCTTTCGATTAATTTCCCTGAGCTTAACACTTTGCAGGCTACCTCTAGGCTGCAAGTAGTCTTGTCCCCCCCTCCCCAGTTGCCAATGAAGCATACGGAGGATATACTCCCTCTTTTCCTCGGCAAAGTTTTTATTTTAGCGCTTTCCTGCCTGCCAGGTTGCATTGGAAATCCTTGACACGTTTTGATTATTTGTGCCACAGCTGGAAAGGCACCTGGCGTTATTAGTCACCGATTATTGCACTGCTTCGCCTTCACAGCACTGCTGTATTTCCACACTCATCGACTAACCTTTTAAAACAAGACTTCAACAGAGAAATGAACAGAAAAACAAGCGGTACTTTGAATGTCTCCTAAAAAGCCAGATTGTTCTTGACTAACCAGCTCTATCTTTCTTTACCATCAACTGAGGGCAAAATCCTGAGTTGTTCTGCTCAGTGCAGCTGTGCATCAGCAGATATTTTCATATACACGACTTTCTTGTTCTCAAACACCTAAGACTTAAAGCATAACTATTTAGCTTTGGTTTCTGAGAATAAATCAAAGCTCAGTGCAGATTTAAACAGACTCTTTCTCATACACAAAAAATGTGTAAGCATACGTAATAAACACCTTCATATTATACACATTTCTCAGCAACACCTCCTAGCATGATTACTGACACAATTATTGCATTTATTTTCCCTTTTTTTAATTAAACGGCCACGCTCAAGGCAGAAATAGAAAGGGCAGCACGTATCAGGCACCAGTAGGCTATCCATCATGAGCTCTACCACATCTGCTCTTACACATACTCAATTTCTCTGTCTCACATCCAGACCAAAGACCAAAACCCAGTGAGGCTGGGATTGCCCATACTGGTTTTAAGTTGAGGAACAGTTCTTTATCAAACTCAGCATGACATCCATCCCTCAAATGAGAAGCGATGAATTCAAACTGCTGAAATTTATATAAAACACATTTACGTGGAACTTAACGCCTGCTCCTAGTGCTGCCAGCACCAGTCGATACCAGTTCATCACAGACTGAGAAACTGGTCCAGACTCCAGCTGACAGGGTGTCCTTCCAGGGAGGAATTTACAGGGTGGCAAGGCAGGCAGTTTTCAAGGGTGGGTTAGGGCAGAGCAGCAGCTCCGGTCTAGACCTGCACCCACAAGGATGCGCTGACCCTGGGGTCCTCTGCCCACATTTCTGGATTTTTCTGGATGGCGGGGTCGTTCTCTTTGGTTTTTAATTCACACAGCAGCTGGTGCACATCACTCCAACCCCCACCCACAGAAGCAAATCGGAGCCCAGGCTTCCTGGGAATGCTGGAGCAGCAAACGCTGGGGAAAACACCAGCAAAACTTAATTTTAAGCAGCCCTGGTCCAGGTGAGCCATGAGGTTAGAGCTCCCAGGATCTCTTCTGCATTTCCAGGACTGCGTTGTGTGACAGTAAGACAGACCAGAGCCGACGCATCTAATTCATTATTTTCTCCTTTTCAAGCTGTCAAGACCAACGGACTCATAGCTCCCATTTTCGGGAGGGACCCATTTTCCTTCGCTTCTTCCCCCAGACCTTCTCAAGGAAGGTACCTTTTTAAGCGAATGCCGGCGACCCGACAGAGAGCAGCGATGCCAGGACTTACCTTATTTGTGACACAGCAAGTGTAGGGCACCCCGCAGGCCAGCGGTCCCGGCGCCGCACAGTTGTGGTACACATTTTGGGACCAATCTTTATAATCTTCCCCACCGCAGCACTTAAACTGGAAAAAAACGACACAAAAGGCAAAGGGGGGAACAAAAAAAAGAATCGTATCTTAACAGAAATTCCTCTACTAAGTAGAAAAGAAAGTAAGAATAAAACAGTTTTAAGAGCGCTGAACTACCCAGCAATTCTGTCATTTTATCAGCAAGGCACATACGAATGTATATGATAGATACAACTGAAAAGAATGAAAGATACAGTCAGCATTCCTCCATCACTCGTTGAGCTATTACCCAGGGTGCCAGAAGAAAGTACTTGGTGCTAAATTCCACTTCCCATCTTTTCCGAGTTGAAAAATTTTCTTTTCAGGTCTGGACATCGTTAAGCAATGTTTTTACATTCATTCCATCTCGAGCTGTAATATACTACTTCAGGTTTTTTAAGGATTGTGACTACATTTCTAAAAGACAAAAGCGTTGCTATAAAGTACAAAAATAATCTCACCGAAACATTTTGGGCGTAATTTAGTAGCACTGAAATCTGGCAAACAAATACTGTAAGTTTACACTGACTTAATACAAATATTCACTTTATATTTTAAACGAAGGGGAAAGGAGCAGTTTATTTAATCACTAATGTTTATTCGCTGTACGTATACATAATTTTGGGCAGTGCATGGAAACTTTAAAGCATTATGAAGTCTAATGACAAAATTTCCTCAGAATGGTTTGCTTTTGACAGACTTTCCATGCTAACTTTGTTTTTCAAAGCAGGCTGCCATCTCCATAACGATGTCATAAAATATACATATCACTTCCTAAGTTAACTTTTTTTTTAAATCATTACTTGGCATGGTCACTGACATCACATGGGCCCTGACATCACATTTCTGAACATTTTCTGCTTCTTCTATAGTCTCTGAACTGCATAGCAGAACTCTTCAATAATCCAATAAACATTTCAACACACCAGCCTTAGGAAAAAAAAAAAGGCTGTGAGTCAACTACACGTGCCATTAAGTAATGCTCAGCTGGGCTCAACACAATTTTGGAATTTTAATTACAGGTATATACACTTCCATGGGCATTTCCTTTGAATAAACACCTTGTTAAAGAGCTTGCTATGTGCCCTCAAGCGAAAATACACCAGCCCAGGTTCAAATGGCCTAACTGCCACCTAAGCTCTCTTTATCCGGTGCCTCCCGTTAATGAGATGCTTTTGAATGTCTTGCACCAGCCAGCAGAAATGCTAAGCGCAAGAACTTGGGTGGAATTTAGGCTGAATTTGTCAGAATCTGGCCGTGGGGCCCCTATAAGCCTACACGTTTGCAGGATCTGGCCTTGAGCATCCAAATCACACCCACCGAGGGAAAAGCTGCATTTTGCCCTCTGCTCCTTGCAGTGATTTAGAGGGCTTCGAATGCCAGCTGGGATGCTGGAGGAGCCCTGACCGCAGCCACGCCGTAACAGATGATGCGTCAGATCTCACCCCCCACATCAGTAAGAATTTGATTATCACATCACTGGAAAAATGCAAAGCTGTCGCCAAGGACCTACCGCATCTCGGCACTGAATTAGTCCCAGGGAAAAAAAAAAAAAAATCCAAACAACAACCAACCAACCCGCTTTTGAACAGAATCCATGATGTTCTTGAAGTCTAAATCATCGTAGTAATTCTCAATTCCTCTTCTAATATTATTGTTCAAAAAGTTGATTGTCTAGAAGGCAAAAGCGAATCAAGATTCACAGGTTACACACGCGAAACAAAATTAAAAGAGCAGGTTAAAGTGACAAGTGTAACTGATGAGCACAAAAGGAAAGGCTTTTTTTTTTTTTTTTTTTAAAGAAAAAAGAAATACCAGTTAAAAATAAATGATAGCACAGTCCATTCGCTTTTAAGGCAGCAGCATCACTGCTGGTTTTGTGCTGAGAAGTGCTAACAGTGCGACACCTCTCCACAACTGAAAGTTTTCAAAATCCAGCACAATCACAGCATAGCAAAAACTAGGACTAATCATAACCAGAATGTAACAACTTTCCTTTCAGTCCAGCTGCTAAAATGATCAAAGCTAAATCCTTACAGGTCAGAAAGAAACCAGAGATACACCTACTCATTTTCTCAGTATTACAAACTGCAACACTTAAAACCAAAACAGAACAAAAAACATTATCACATCAGTGATTAGAAATAACAGGGAATTTTGCAGGACTATCCTAACTGGCCAAGAATAAACAGCAGCAAATCCCGACTACTCTTGTGCTACCCATATCACCTCATTTAGACTCGACAGATTTGAGAAGGAAATAGAGAAAGAAATGGGAAAAATCAATGAGGCATGCAAAACAATCCACATTTAAATAGAGGCTATTAGCCTAAGGTTTTATTAAATACTTCCTTCTCCTCCCCATACTAACCCCAGCTTCTCCCTTAACCTCAGAAAACAAGCAAAGAAACCTGCACCTGAGCGCAGCTGTCCTGCTCAGCCAGCCAACACACGTGTCGGGAAAACAGTTACTGCACAAAAACCCCCAAAATACATTTTCCTTGTCCAAAAGTCAACCGCAATTCTTCCTCGCCCTCTCAGCAAATACCATCTTTGGCATTTACTTCATTTTCTGCCAACCAAATTCTCTGCATCCCGTGATGCCCACACTCCCACACCACGCAGGCTGATCTGCTCCCTTCGGTTGAGTCTGGTGCTCCCACCACAATTCAGAATAAATCCTTGCACGGGGCCAAGGCGACATCTACGGCAACGGCCAACGACAGCTTCTAGAAAGGAAGATAACTCAGCCTCTGCTCTCACAAGTCAAGTTCACGGCTCTGGTCCAGCATGGAGTAAGAAGAAAACACTAGCTAGGGAGAACATAATACTACTTCAAAATAACAATGAGTTGTTATTTTTAATAAAACCTTTTTTTTAGAGCTTTTTTTTTTTTTAAGTAACGTGTAACATAGTATGCAGAACTTCTTTTTGCGGAAATGAGATTGGTAGGATCGGGGTGGGGAGGGAATAGGTCGTGTTATTCAGCATCTCCTTTTAACACTCATATTTTGCCAGATTTGACAAAAAAATCCAAGCACAGAAATCTAGTACTTGCCATGGTGAACACATTTGTGTTTTAAAACATTTCTAACACTCAAAAAAAAAAATAGTCTGCTGCTTTCCATTTAGAAAAATTAAGGTTTTTATACAATTATAGCATGCTTGTAAATGATGGGGTCTCCTATAGAAATTAGTTATGCTGCTCTTGGAAACCTGAAAGGCCCTGAAAAGTCTGGACCTGCCTTCAGACCTCCATCAATTAGTGCTCATGTGACAATCTTAACACCTTTTATTTGCTCAGTAGCGTAGCTGTAACATCATGCCTTGTGAGTAATGTTCTTGGTGATCAAGACCCAAATGCAAGCGGCTCACCTGGTTTCTGAAGATCAGGGCCACCACTCCACCAGTCAGCTCAATCAGCAAGCAGATACCAAGAATGTACATGAACTGCAGAAAAACAATTGCAAGTGAGACCTTAAACAGAACAAACCCCAATTACTCTTTCAGTTAGTGGCCTTAAGTCTGTAACATTCAATCGCCAACACACTTGGCTTTCTGCATACGAGATGTCATTTTAAAGAAAGATATAAAACTATGGGTTTGTTCTTATAATGCTGTTCACGTCACAAGAACACCTTTTTTCCTCACTTGAGTCATTCTGGTTTTGCCCAATTGGCGAACACATTATTTTTCTGCTTTGAATGGACTCAAAACCAATAGATGCATTTATCACGCCAAGATACTTCTCTCCGTAACAGCATCCCAGAGAAGCATATTAATGGACTGCTACAAACCATACCGAACTTTGTGGTTTTATGCTTCCTCTAAAAACAGTACTTACCTGTTAGCTTCCATTTCTTGGGTAAAGAGGCTGCATGATGGGCACCGACAGGACTTACTATGCTCAGTGGTAAGAAAAATTATACCTGCTAGCTGTCTATTTATTCATCTGTGTATAATATATATACATGCTCGCTCACACACAACCACAACATACGCATCTGTGACTACTTATCAAAGCACATGCAAAATAATATGAAGAAATCCATAGCGACACCGTGAGATAGCTGCAAAATGCCAGTACTTGAAATGTTTTTCCAACCCAAAGGGTTCTTTAAGCATAAAAGATGGCTGATAAGTGAATTTAGGTCTGCTTCTTAACAATGAACTTCATCAGGAGCGAAGTTTTATGATCTCTCATGTGAAAATAATCTCTAATGCTCCACCCCAAAAGCTGGCTTAATCTCTGTGCTCTCAAAACCCATTGCAGTGTCACAAATTCACCGGACAGATCTCTTTTCTCCTGCTAAATCCGGAATCAGCCTGAGAAGCAGACATTGGGGACTTTCTTCGTTTAACTACCCTACCGGGTTTGCTACCACAACGGGAACAGAAAATGTCCTCGGCATCGGACGGGGACACACCACCATGCTCAGAGTGAAAGAAGCCACCACCGCCTAAGGACAGACTCTCAGTAAAATTCCAGCCTAATTTCAAAATCCACAGTTGCCTCTTGCTTTGGCCCATGTAACATGCCACGTATTTACCACTTCTTTACATCGAACTGATGCGAAGGCGAGAATTAAGTTTTCGCGCTTTACTTAAGTCGTATGCGCGACTTCCATCTGCAACCACAGCATTATAGAGGAACTTCCCCAAAAACTCATTTGGAGAACCACCAGGGGCCACAGCTCATCTCTGCACTTAACGTCCCATCAAGCAGGTTCACGGCTTTTGGAAATCCCCCCCATACTGCAACCAGACTTTGCCTTTTCCTTCGGCCAAAGGGCAGAACTATCTCCTCTTCTCCATCACAGTTCCCTAAGCAGGGCACGTGCCTATGGTATGGCCAGAGCAGAGAAAAAGCAGGCACCGTGGTGCCAGGCTAGCGTCAAATGGTATGTCAACAGCGGAGTTTGCACAAGATCCACGCCAGCTGATAATAATTAACATTCCTGGTTGTTTTCCATAAAGCCCTTAACTATCAGAAAGCTGGTTTTCTCAGCGCCGGGCTCTGACCCTCGCCTGTCCTGTCACTGGCAAGACGAAATGCTGCTGGGTCCCTGATGGAGGGACATCCATGGACTGCAGTTCGGGGACTGTTGCCGGAAAGCAGTTTCAGATTTAATTAAAATAAAAAAAAAACCTTTAGGAAAATATTTTTCAGTGTAGACATAGTTATGGGTTTGAATTCAGGTGACACTGAAAAGCAAAAGCAATGAGCCTTAAAAATTAAGAATAAAAAACCCAACACTTACTGCTTGAAGAAGGCATAAATTGTCTCTTAGAGAAGCCAGTACACCCACGAAAGATACCAGGAACATTATAATGCCCAAAAGTATTAAAATAATTGCTGGGGCTAGAAAGGCACTTTCCAGAGTTTTGTACTTTTGTCTTTCAACTTCTGCATAAATCCCAACCGCGAGGACAAGGGCTCCAATCACCTGAAACAGAAAAAGAGAAGAGCACAGACGTTACTGTTTCTCCCAGTAAACACAGAGATGACATTTTGTGAGTACACATGAACCTCTGACTACTCACTTCAGAATTAATTATAAACAATGAAACACTCAAATCAGAAGTTTGGATTAAAAAAAAAACCAAACTCAAAGACTAAAGCAGAAAAAAGCTGAGTTGGAAAAAAACCTAAGATTTGTTAATTTTAAAATATATTTAATAATGTTTTAACATTCTGGAAGTTAAACAAATTGAAACACATGTCATTGGCTGAAATGTAATTTATTACTCATCTGAGATGACATATATTACACATACTAAAAAATGCCATGGCATTAAAGTTCCTCCTTTGCGTGTCTGTCTGTCCTTCCCTCTGTGTGTGTGTATATATATATATATATGTGTGTGTGTGTGTGTCTCTAACAGAACACAATTTCTAAGCCAGGCTGCAATCAACAGCTTGTATGTCCCTTCATAGCAGCTCCTACTTTATTTAGGCTCAGCAAATATGGCCAGGTGTATCCTATACCTCCCTTCCTCTTGTCATCAGGGGAAATGCACTGGATTAAAAAAAAAAAAGAATAAAAAACAACCCAAAACACCAAAACCCACACCACACACACCGCAAAAACGCAAGTTTGAAATTACGTCACTTTCTTGAACTACCACCAGATAAAGCTGACAAGTGAAATATCGCATTTCATTTAACAAGGTACAGGTATTTCAATCAAAATAAACACAGTTAAGTCACAATCATTTGGTATGAAACCTACAGTGTGCTGCAAGTCGCTTTGAATTACGCTGAATTAAAAAAAAAAAAAAAAATAGCCCACAATACTTAACCATGAAAATTGCAGTGGAAAAACGTTCCTGCCGACTCTGACAGCCAGGCACGTCCTCAGGGAAGAGCCCAGATTCAAATGAATCATTTTGGCAATCTGATAAAAAACATGCCCCTTTTCTGACCTGACATTTCCGCAGGAACCCCGAGTCTGCTCCCTGCACACCAACAGCGAGGAGAACGCACTTCTTAATTACACGAGGCTTTTGAATAGCACATGGTATATCCCGGACAAAGGTCTAGATGAACACACGACATACTTAGTTTGCAAGATCGTGAGCCCGACAGCTAAAATATTTTTTTTAATTACAGGATATCTTAAAATAAATAACAACTTACTGGAAATTCTTTATTTTCTACAGGGATGAATAAAAAACCCAAAGGACAACATGTGGGGAAAGCCACCAAGCTGTCATTTAAACTAGAAAAATCGCAGAAGGGTCCACCCATAAAAATAAATATACCAAAGCTATTTAAAAAGCAACTTAAAATTTTACATGACCAAATTCAGAGTAACTCTCCCTCTGACAAATTCAGAAATCGTGCCGTAAGGTTACAGATGACAGAAGGGAAAACATGGTGGACAACTAACAGGTACCCAAATTTACCACTTACATGCTTCTGCTATAAAATTGTAATTAGGTTTTTTTAATTACTGAATTGTCAATTTGTAGTGTTAGCTTTATTCTTTAAAAAATTCAGTGGTTGTAATAATAGTATATATTACTATAAATAGTACTATAAATATAGTAATAAATTATAAATGTCTTTTCAAGCAGACGACAACATAAACAAATCAGTTCAAAATTTTTAAATACAGCTATAACAATTGAGGAAAGAGTCTCAGAGCCATACAAAATAATTACAGACTGTAAAATTGGTGACTGTACATGTATATGGGATTCAAGAGTTCTAGTAGTAGGTAGTAGTAGTATTTTAAAAAAATAAACAATAAATTAAAAAAAACCCTAAAAACCTGAAATTTTTGTGTCCAGACTGCATTCACCCTGCTCGAAAAGTAGCAGATAATACAACTTAAAGATGGACTCTCCTGCAAACACTAAAGCACCATTAACAAGTTAACGCTTGCCTGGTAGATTCCTTGTTTAGAAAATTAAAAAAAAACAACATTGGAGGTAAAACACAGGTATTAAACCTTGACGGGGATTATCTGAATTTCAGAAGTGTGCGTTGTTTCAAGGCTAGAACGTTTTACTGACATGTCTTTTTCTTAGCCATAGCTTTCTCATCAAAACGTTCCGTTTAAGAATTTTGTTGTTGTTGTTTTAAAGACTCAAAGGTGCCTGTAAGTAGAAATACAAGACGCGTTCCCACTGTAAGAGCTTAAGATACACAGGCACATATAGCAATCTTTATACACATCCGTTATCTTCACCCCTTTCCATTTGCACTTCAGCTCACACACCCTCCAAGACCACTTTCAGCATTTTAAGCATACAAGAAACTTCGGTCCTGCCTTTTGTGTTCTGACACCAAAAAAACCCCCCGAAATTCCCCCTTTCAAATTCCCACCTGCTACAGCTTTTACTGTCCCAAGGACCAAGGTGGCCGATACCCCACCCCAGACAAACAACAGCATTAAAATGATGACACTCCCCAAGAAGGGGACTACAAAACACCCCTGCAATAAAACTCCCTCGAGCCATCCTAAATTAACAGTTCGGCAAACCGTGGCACGCAGGGGGCACGTGCCGCAGGGAGGCAGGCAGGCTTCGCGCTGCCTTCAGCAGCACCGCGGCTGTGCCAAGGGAAAAGCATCAGCTAACAAATAAAAAAACTCAGATCAACCTATTATATAGTAGACACACAGGCAGATTTTGAAGCATAAGAAACTATCACGGAGCGGGGGGGAAAGCCCACCTAAGTACAGGATTGAAATCCTCATTCCTTACAAGCAGAATTTATGCTTTTGTTACCTTCTGGTTTTTTAAGCATTTAATAAAAGTCTTTTAAACCTTTAATACGGTCAAATCAACAGCGGCCAAGCAGATGCGCTAACTTCGCAATCATCCCACCCGTGCCTCTTGTCCGGGACTGTGCTCTCCCTTCCTGTGACCGGGGCTGGAAACTCGACTTTTACGTAGGTAGCCCACAAACATACTTTGCTGTTTACATCCTGCATCCTTCACAACAGCCCCGAATTTGGCAATTCACACTGTGTCCGCAGGAAAAATTAACTGGCCTTGACTCGCATTACCTGAGTATCCACCAGCAAATACCAGGGACTTTCTTGGGGGCTTTTGCATGCACAGAAGTTGCTTTCCCAAGAGAAAGGAAAAACATTTATTTAGAAGTAGCGGTTTTAACCCTGTGTTTACAATACTTATTCTTAAATAAAGTGCCTTCTCAGCAACAGCACCTTCTGTTTAAAACGCTGGATGTTGTTTCTTCCAGGCAAGAAAAAATACATCACATTCTCCTTCACCAGCAAAACGGTGGCCTGAAAAAGTTACAGGGATGGCTATTTTTTAAAAAAGCCCTGGGTGAAATGAGAAGACACAGCAGCGACAGGGCCTGTAGCAAACGTCCCCTCTGGCTCTCCCAGCGATGCTTTCATTTCCTTTCTGCTTCTAGATAAAGCTGATATTTAGTTCCCGGTGAGTTTAAGCAATCCTGGGGACTCAAATCCGGGTGTACATCACTCATAAATGTACCGGAGGAACAGCAACAGCGGGGAGGAAAGCGAACGGCCTCGGCATCCCGTACGTCAAAGCCCCAAAAAGCAGCAAAAGAACACAAATCACCCAAAATTTAAGCAAGCCGATGCTCCACAGCCAAACTTTACTCCCATTTTCACCAATTAAAAAAAAAAAAAAAAAAAGAGTCAGTAAGACTAGCACAGCTGAAAAAAAGAACCAGCCCGCTGACATTTACAGCTAATGAGATCTGCTTCACTAAGCTGGAATAAAAGAAAATTTCGAGAGAGAAACCCACGTGCCATGCCTCACACAATACGGCGTGTGTTCGGCCCGAACGCCGGGAGCACGCTGCCGGGCTTCCCGAGAGCAAACGCCGTCAGCCCCCATCACGCCTGCCGCCTTCCCAGAATAAACCATCTTCCCAGCTCGCTCTCGGATATAAACAAGGACAGAGCATTGAAAATCCAGAGCAAGGAACTATAAAGAGTAAATAAACTCCTCAGGCTACTTGAAAGAGGCTTTGTCCTTCAGGGACACTCAGAGAAACATTTCAGAAGGGTCCTTTTGCTGCTACCGGATTAATTTCCACATCCCACCAGCAAGGGCTCTTGCTGCCAACAGAAAACACGGAGTAGACAACATGTATGGTCCTTCATGAAGGACACCCTGCAAAAAAAAGGGCTTGGAAAATAACGCAACAGATTTCCCTTTTCTGAAAGTCACACCTGCGGAATAGCTGCTGTGGAGTAACACGGGAAACTTCAGGAATCGAAACCCAAGGGTTTTCCTTGGTTGGTTTGTCTGCTAAGAGAGACAAAAGATATCCAGGATCCTCAAAAGCCTGAATTACACCCAAATGCTTTGCATTTCCATTTTTGTTCATCCTTAAACCCTAGCTTTAATCAGATACCTACAATCAATCAAACCTGGTGGATCTAAACCTCTTCTCCCACGCAACACGCCAAAAGCTTTATGCTCCCACCTTGTAATTCCGTGTCTACTGAGACAGAAACACAGAGCAGCAAAACAAGAGCTTAAGCAGCATATTAAACCGAAAGAGCCAGAAGGAAACCCCTCCTCAGCACAGCCAGGCAGCATCACCCCGGTATCCCGGACCCTGAAAAAGCACCTTTTAAAAATCACGGTCCTTACAAGGAGCCCCGACAGCTCCTTCCAGCCTGGGGGGTGCGTGCTCGGGGTGAAATCTGCCACGTTTGGGAAGTCGGCGGTAGTAGTCTGGGCTATATGGATATACTATATAAGCAGGTGGGACTGTATCGCTTTCAGGAGGCAGCACGTGGGTTTTACCTGACACCTGGCTGAGGCCAGCAAGCGTGACACACCTTTATGTTTTAAAGCCTCACAGCATCATCCAGCCGAGGCTCAGCACCACCCTGACGACAGACTTTACAGGGCAAAGGCTTTATTTACCCAGCTCCCCTAGGGCGGAAAAAAAAACAAAAAAGCCTCCTTTTAATAGGTGCATAAACGACTTTCCACCTGCCAAACTTTCGAACGCCTTACAAGTCGCCCATCCGCCAAAACCAGTTTGTCAGTCCTTAGGGAAAGCCGGGGAGCTACACCCACGGCCACGGGTGTGCCAGCCACCGGCTCAGCAGCAGAACCATTTCTTATTGCAAAACCCCGACACTTCGTGCAAGGAGAGACACGCACGCGCATCCCCCCCAAATCCCCGAGAGGACCCCCACGCCCGCCCCCCCGACCCCCGACCGCACGCTTGCCCACGCGTGTACAAACCCACCCCACCCCCCCACGCGTGGGCGCCCACGGCTCCTCACCCAGAAGGTGGTGGAGTAGGTGATGAGGGTGAGCTTGAGGCAGAGGTAGGAGAACCGCCCGCAGTACCGCACTTGCTCCGCGTCCCCCGCCGCCATCCTCCCGCCCCGCAGCACCTGCTGCCGCCGCCCGGCTCCCTTCCCCTTCCCTCTCCCTCCCTTCCCTCTCCTTCCCTTCCCTCCTCTCCTTCCCTCCCCTTCCCGGCGGGCCGTGCCCGGGGGAGGGAGCGGCCGCCCCGCCGGGCGGGCCCCGGGGTGCCCCGGGGGTTGCACGGCGGAGAAATGCAAATAAAACCCGGGGCGGGGACGGCGAAAGCGAAGGGGAAAAGCTCCGAAACGGTCCGGCTTTTTCCTTTCCTTTTTCTGTTTGGGGTTTTGTTGGTTTGGTTTGTTTGGTTTTTTTTTTGCCCGTTCAGGACAAACCCCGCAGCTGGAGACGTCAGGAAAAAAAAAAAAACAAAAAAAACAACAATTTAATAAATCTATCGCTGCTCAAACAGGCATCTAAGAGCGCTGCCGGAGCGCAGAGCAATGCACACAAACCTCTGCGATTGCCACGGAAGGCGGCGTGGATGTAAACCACCCAAACGCCGAGCTGCCGCTTCGCTGCTGGGGTTTTTGGTTAAGCGTACATCAACGTCGCAAAGCAGAATCCCTGCGCTCTACAGCAGCCCAATTAAGCAATACCGGAGGCTTTACCTTTCGTTATAACACCCAGGCGATCGCGCGTGCGAAGAGGGTGCTGTCGTGCAAATACCACCGCCCTAGTGCAACAGTGAACGGGCGTATCGCCCTGGCCGCATTTTCTATCCACATCCCGCTGCCGTGACAGTGGATCAGCGTTGGTCTTACGCAGCCATCATGAACTGCAAACGCCATTCATGCCTACAAGATTAAATAAGCCCTTTCAAGCTGCCAGCGCTGCACTCCTGCGCCACAAAGGACTATTTTCCTCCGGGGAAAAAAAGTCTCATTCAAAGTGGCAGACAACTGTCACAGAGTTAGTTGTTGCGTCCTGGCCCAGAGCAGAGACAGACAGCATTGAAAATCAGCGGCTGGTATCGGAGAAGATGAAGTGTGGCAGAATTTATTCGTAAATTATCTAGCAAAGAGACTGTAGAGAACCTCTGAGCTGCGTGTGTAGAACCGTGTAAGTGATCGGTCGCACATCATTTTGTTAGGTACATACAATATACTGGTAGTTGCTACCAAAATCTCTTTTATAAAGCCTAAAAAATATTCCTGGATAACTCTGTTATAAAAAGTGCCATTGCTTTTGCATGCAGTGCTAAACTCTGCTTCTGGGAAACAAATAATCCAGCCCAGGTCCCTGCCAGCGACAGAACAGCTCATCACCTCTTACGTTTCTGACAATAATACGTAATATGATGTCCTAGAGCATTCATCCTCTAAAATATCAACAACTTGAGCTTTGAGTCAAATCTGCAAATATCCCTGACACTTACCAATGCCGTGCAGGCTGGAAATCCCATCGCGTATTGTGTAAGTGCTGAGAATTAGAGTCTACCACACGTTCTTCATGTCTCACGGGCATTGTTCACATCCAAACACGTTCCTGTCACTTATGCTTTTTCCTTGTTTGTGTATTTAACTGAATTAATAGTTTTGGTTCGACTGCCCTAATGCCTTACCTTGTCCTTCACGCTCTGATTTCTGCAAATAAAATTTCAGGGCACGACTGGCTGAATGGGGAAGCCGATTACCAGGAGTGTCCATTTTCCTGTTGTTCTCACTCTGAACTGAGCCAATACGTCAAAACAGGTTCCTGTTATGAAACTGTATGAAAATAATTGAATAATCCTTTTCTTTGTCTGAATCCCAGACTTTGTCTAGACAATGAAATGGCAAGATTTCTGGACACGATTGGTACAGTTTAGCAGTAAACGGTGGTTTAAAGTAAGATGTTATGGATTGCCTGCGGTGCTGAGGCTCCTTCTTGGTTGCACAGAGCTGCAGTTTTCCAACCGAGAGTTTGGCATCTCCGCCGGCATCGAGGCAGATCGTGCATTATAGCATCTGCTCCCGAGACCATCCAATGGCTCAGCTAGCGGTGGTTTTGTTCACGTTAAGGATCAGTAACTTCCATATTTCCTCCCTCACCTCCAGGGCTACCAGGGTGGTTGCAAGTGTCTACAAGGCATGGTAGACCCCATGGACAGTCTTCAAAAGCCGTGGTCTGCAGAGCATTTGACCCAGGGCTTTAGGAGATCTGCAGAAAAGGAAAGTGAACCCCCAAGCTAGCCCTACACCAAGGAGTGTCAAAAAGACCCTAAGCTTTAGCTTTTCAGAGCTACCAGCAGCATTTTTGCTGCTTTCTGCCAGCCCAAGCTGCGCTGATAAAGCTGGAGTCTGGCTGCACGTTGCCCAACCTGAGGTGGATGCTCATGGTCCTCACGTCCCGCTCTCAGAGCTGTTCCCTGCACAAAGGTCCTTCCCCCCAAAGCAGAGTCCGGCGGGCAATACAATTAAAACCTCTACTGCCTGTATTACCCTGTATTATTTTTCCAAAACACAAAATACACTTTACTCACCCTTCCTGACCTTCCAGACACACATCTTTTGTTTGCATCTCTCACCCTTTGCTCAGGCCTGGAATGGGTGACTCAGCACGGTGACATTTGGCCTTGAACAATCCTGTCCATAATAAAAACATCAGTGAAACCAGCCAAACCCCAAACCCCTGCTCTCAGATAGCCCCTTTCCCTGGTATAACTCCAAAATCATTGGGGAGGCAGGTTTTGCCCACAGTCCCACGCAATTGCGCGTTTCCTGAGGAATTTGGAGCCTGCCTTTGTAAAAAATCGCGCCAGTTTGCAAGTCAAAAGGCCGACAGCGCACGCTACATCGCTGGCCCGGCACCAGGACGATAACCTTGTCAAGGCACAACCAGCAAACGAATAAAAGGTGTGGGTGTGTATAACCGAAAGCAAGTCTTTGCTGACTTGTACGATGAAATGTTGACCAAAGGGTGGCTGCTCTCTGATTAGAACCTGAGCTAACAGATCAGGGACTGGGGCAGATTGTTCAGAAGGAGGTTCCTAGGAACTGTGGGCACCCTGACCATCTTCAAAGTCAGCTGAGTGAGGTTATGGGTTTCCATATTGAAACATCAAAAAGTACAGTCCTTTTTCTAAGCGCTTGCTTATATTCTGCTTTCTATAACAAAGACTTATTAAGCACTTTAGCTGTGCCCTCAGCTAAACTTACAGAGGTTTTTGCTCATATTCTCCTTGGAATTTTAAGAGATTTGAGGGAGACAAAGAAAAAAATCTGAAGAACACTATTAGCTGTTGAATTTGTACTGCAAATCATGAGCAGCCCTCCTGGACTCTATACAGAAAGTGGAAGGTTCATAAGCTGTTTAATGAGGTGTCAGTGGAAGACTTTCAAGAAGAGCCTGGAACAGCTTTGCAACACATACAAGAAGATACATACGAGTGTATTTTTGCAGTTTCTCGGTAGGGAAGTGAGTGGGATTACCTGTAGGGAAGACCATCATGAGGAGAAGGAGATATTACACGTAGTACTACAGGTATTAATTTCTTAAAAAACAACACTTGGGTAATACCGTATCAGAGAAGATCTCTTTTAAAGAGTTGCAGTCATTAGGTGATGGGTTAACTGAAGGCTGCCTCCAGAAATTAATGAAGCAACGAAAGAGTCCAGGCTGAGCTGGTGGAACGGATCCTGAACCGATAAACACTGCCCCTTTACAGGGGAACCTGGCACAGCTGCAGCTCCAGCAACTACAGGAGCTGGAAAATTACTGCCATCCCAGGAGTTTTTTTCCTTTATGTTACTTTCTGAATCCTGAAAACAGGCTTTAATATCTGAAAACAGGTTTTAATACCTGAAACGCTTTCAGCTTCCAGCAAGTAGGCACAAGCCAGTGCCAAGTACTCTTTGAAATCTCAGCCTCAACACGTTACTTATGTTTATGTCCTTTACTGCAAAGCTGACAGCGAGCAAGAGCGCTGTGCTCTGAGCAGAGACAGGACTCGGGGGTTCCCCTTATCTGTCAGGACCAGATACTCCTTCTTGCACGCATGAGGTCAATAAGTCTCTACAGCACACGCTGGGAAAGGGGATGCAGCGGTCCGAAGGGGGAACGCCCCTCGTTCAGCACCTCAGCATCACGGAACGTGGAGGCTGGGAGCTGAGGCTCCTCTGGATGTTTCTATACTAGAGAGCAGCCAGAGAAGGATTTCTGGAGCTCCGGATGAGATCCTGGGTGCCAACTTCCCACTGAAGCCTCATTAGAAATCCCAGCTCAGGTCTGGCCTTCACAAATGCCTCTCTCCTGGCATTATTCGCTGGCAACTCTTCAAGCACCAACAGGACATGTTGACGTAATTTAAATAAATTAAATCATACCAAATCTACTAAATATGGCCGGTCATATTATAAAGGGCAGTCACCATTAAGTAAAACTTATCAAAAACGCGGATAAGCCTCCAAATAGTTGCAGAGAGCAAGACCACCTTGCTAAAATTGCACCAAATATATTTTGTTTCGTTCTTGCTATGAGAGCTCGCAGGAAGCCAGGGAGGGTCCTGGAAACACAAGGATTGCAGGACTGGTAAACCTGGCAAAGTAGCTACCCTTGCATTTAAGCCTGTAGAATCCTGACATAGCAGCATGTCCATTTCAGAGATTATTTCAAAACAGAGGGGGGGGGGAGAAATGTTTGAAGTACCACTTTGCTGTGTTTGATTTGATGTCAAATTGGTTGTTTAGTTTTTGCCTGCAAGAGACTCCACCTCCTTTCAAAGTTCCCTTAAACCCTGTAGATAATTTATCCCAGTACGGCTCCTGCCTCGCACTTAACAGTTACACGGGCAAAGAAAACCAAACGTTCTCAGTCCTGCTGAAGAGGATTCAGATACCTGGTGCCTTGGAAAACCGCTGCCCTGAAAAAGAAGGATTTCCACTTGGATTGAAGCGTTCTCTGGCTTGATACTTCCATTTGTATTTTCTTGGCCCTAAAAATAATCTAAAAGGAAGACATCGCCTCTCACGGACCTGGAAAACACCTTCCTCCCCTCCACCACCACCCCCTTTTTTTTTTCCTTCCTTTTT